CGGCGCGGTAGCAGGTGGGTCGGTGGGCCTGTCGGCCAGTCAGCTCTCGGCTGCAGCCTGCTCGGCAAAGCGGCGGGCGGAGGGGGCCGTCCGCGCGGTCATTGCCCTTCCCGGCTCTCCTGCGATTGGGCCCCGCAGCCGGCGCCCACGCGCGGATTGGTCCGCTAGGGTGTCACGCTCGTGCGCCCGCCTCCGGAGGGCTCCGGGCGGATCCCCACACCCCGCAGGTGCAAAGCTGCGGCCGGGAGCTGGGCCTCGCCGCTGGCTTGACGGTTGGCCTGCTGCACCCGGGAAAAAATGGGTTACCTGTCTTAGCTATGAGAAGTAAAATGTTCACTTTAGATGCTTGGCTCCTGTAAAATCAAGGGCGAAGGCATGCCCCAAATCTTAATATCTTAAAACTGCTGTATCTCTCAAGCTATTGTACATGTCCATTTTGGGTCACTGGGGAGCATCCTTCTGTCATTTTCACTCAGGGACAGATTGCTCTTGTTATTATCTGAATATAACTGAAGGCAGAGAAAAGGAAAAAAGAATCTGACGCCAAGGTTTCCTCCTAGAAATGGTACAGATCACTTTTTCATTTGGCCAAAATAAGTCACAGGTCTGTGTGGAGAAGTGCGGTCCTATCATGTGCTCAGAAGGAGGATGAAGTATGGATAAATAGCTCTGACTTCCATGTCCACAGGCCACAATTTCTTATGAGAATCAATGGAACAGAAAAGATGTTTAGAAGATGCTGGTTTTGCTCTCTTTCTTTCTTTCTCTCTTCTTGTTTTTGCTATAGGGCATGCATACTTCAGAGAGAGAGGGAAAGTAAGAAATTCCCTGCCCCCCCCTCAGATGGCTAGCTGCAATCTTTTCTCTTCCATTCTTCTCCTCTCAGGATTTTGGGCACACAGGCAAACGCTCCAGCTTGATTTTCAAGCTGCTAGTTTGGGAATTAAACTGTGGTGTTGGCTATGCTGGTCCTGAAGATGTTATTTCTGGTCCCAGAAAAAATTAGTATACAATGTCCATGCTTTGCTGACCTTACTCTTCAACATGAAAAAGTCCTTCTGTTTGTTTTTTAAACTGTGTGTTAACCAGAGAGAGAAAGTGACAGAGAGGGAAAAAGCACTTCCTAGTGGTGTGCGGTCACACCGCAATCAGCTTTCTTCCATTTTCTTCCCTTGACGATGTGCCAGGCATGTTTTTCAAGCTTCGGGGGCCTGATGGGAACCACGATTGGCCAGGTGGAATCTAGCTCCCTTGACCTGTGATCCAGGAATCCTGGGAAAAATGCCTTCTTAATGTATTCTGCCTCCCATCTCTATGGTGACGATAATCATTATGCAAGCCTTTTTCTTTTTTAAAAAAATAATAAGGGCTTGAGTTATATATTAAAGAAGTTATATATTAGCCAACTGTTAATTGGAACCTATCTCTGTACTGAACTCTGGATGAAATAAAAGAAATCAATACACCATAATTAATCATCAAACTGTTTCCTCGTATTTGGTAAGAAAAAATAGATCTACATAAAGGTAATAAAAACGATTCTAAAACCAAGCCCATGGAGACCATCAGGGACTGATCGTTCCATTCACCCACTGCTATTGTTTCTCACAGGCTCTTGCTCAAGCCTTCTTCCTCTAAAGACTCTGAGAGAAGGGGCGAGCAGGTAGCATAGAGGTTAAGGCAGCTGGATTCCACGTGGTGACCACACAGTTCACTTGGTGGCTTGAAAAACATGCTGGGCACATGTGCATGCGTGCCCAAAATCCTGCAAGGAGAATGGAGGAGAAGGGATTAAGGCATGGTCATTCCCCCAGCGAGTGAGTTCTCTGTATATATATCCAGTGAGCCCCTGGGAGAAGAAATTGAAAATAAAGCCTAAGCCTTCCTGGAGCAGTGGCCATTCATCAGGGCAAGGGCTTCCATGAAGATTTTGACATTTTTATGTTTTCAGTTCAATGACCTAGCATTTGTATAGAGTTTGTAGAGTTTGTTTCATTATTTAATTGGAGAAGGGGAGGGGAAAGAGAGAGAGACAGATACCTTTGGTACAGGGTCTTGCCACACCGTGATCCTTCCCTTAGCCTCCTAGCCAGTCAGGATCATCACCATGTGTAGGTATGCCCGGCATGTTTAGATCTACCCAGAATCCAAACCTGGGCTTCCCACATGACTCCAGCATTGCACAGTGACACCTTACAACCCGGACCACTGTGGGTGGACCAGACCTAGATATTTTAATGTAAGCATAGTATGAATTATATTCATAAAATGAATAACAATCATATTCATATGAAGCACATTATTATTGTACTGACATCTGATTTCAGGGTCGGCATTTGTGTTTCTGGTCATGGTCACATTGGCTCCAAGCAGAAGAATGTTAATAATGTCAGACTCATGAGAAAGACAGTAGATTGTATAAATAATATGCTCAAATGAAGGGAAAAACAATGTCATATCATGTTCCAGAGAAGTTTTCACAGCATGCCAATGAACAATGTGAGAGTAGAGAGATCTAATTCGACATTGTGAGCAGACATATTGAACTCACACGACCTTGCTGTGCTGGGCAGTGCCAGGACAGAGGTAACAAAAGCCAGAACAGCATATAGTAGCGACTAGACTTGGTTGGTTTTAAGAAGGTAGCTTTCTTTTGTTTGTTTCTGATAAATCAGCAAAGTAAGATGTGATGAAAAGACCTCTGTACACTAAGTACTGCTTTGGAGGTGACTGTCAGTTTGGTGCTGATAAGAGTCCAATGTGTTACAACTCCAAGCACAAATTGTTGGAAGGAAATGTAGTCCGATCACATGACCTTAGTGAATTATTTGCCAAAAAAAAAAAAAAAAGATTTTAGTAGGTCTTATCTATTTGAGGAGTTCATAACCTAACTTCAACTCTCGTCTCTCTTGACCTCTGTTGCTGTGGCGACTGATGAACAGATTTCTCTTTCTGGGAATATCTCCTTCTGCTGAGTGCCATGACCCGGCTGTCTTCCTGCTGCTCTGAGAGCCCTTTCTCAGATGGGCTTGCTTCTCAAACAGCACCATTCCTTGGGCTCCATCTCAGCACCCTTTTTCTCCCCAATCTCCTCTGTACTTGTGACCTACTACCACAAACATGAGGAGTTTTTTAAAAGTTAATGAAAACTGCATATTATGAAAAAGTATATGTCGATTTTTTTTTTTGGAGAGATTTTCACTGTAGGGCGCGTGCGCTCGCCAGACAGACAGAGAGAGACATAGAGACAGAAAGCGAGAAATCACCCCCCAGCGGGGATGGTCACGCCGCAATCCCTTCTCCTCCATTCTCCTCTGGGGATCTTGGGCACGCACGCACACGCGCCCGGCGTGAGTTTTAAGCCACCGGGTCCGAGACACAAACTGCAGTCAACTACGTGGGAGTCCAGCGACATAGCCATTACACTAACTGCTGGTTCCCTAGTATATGTCGATTTAAAAAATTTTTGCATGAAACTTGTACCTTAGTTCTAGTTTTTCTATGAACTTTCCTTGCACACTGAGCACTCCCGAGTCTCTCTCTCTCTTTCTTTTTACGGTTTTTGCCATAGAGCATGTGTGCTTGCCAGAGAGAGACAGAGAAAGACAGTAGACGGAAAGTCAAACATCACTCCCTGGGGGGTGATGGCCACACCACAATTCCTTCTCCTCCATTCTCTTCCTGGAGTTTTGAGCATGCATGCACAGGCACCTGGTGTGATTTTTCAAGCCTCCAGGTCTGGGACTCGAACCATGGTCAACCATGTGGGAGCCCAGTGCCTTAACCACTATACCACCTAGTAGCCCAACTCCCTGATCTCTTACATCAAGCCCACCTTCTTCTCTTCAACTTGATGTGCAGAGCTTCTACCTTAGAAAAAAAAAAAAGAAAAAACCTTCAAAACACAACACACAAAACAAGTGACTGTATACTTTTAAGTGTTCAAAACAGATATCACCTTCCATAAATACGGTACCTTTTTGTAATCCATGTTTCAGTCAATGATATCCACAAAGCCAGTGATTTGGAAATCTTCCCTGACTTGTTGGTTACCAAGTACATAAATATTTCATATCATAAATGTATTGGCATTATCTATGCCATTTTTAGGTGTGTGGCTATGAGGCAGACAGGCCTCCAGTTTTGGCGTATTTAGGCTGAACAGCTCCTTTTTGGCTTGGTGAAAGTGGGGGCCTCTGTGTTGCCATTGATGTGACAGTTGAAGTTTCTGAAGGGGAAGTGGGTAAATATGCAAAAGAACCAGGGAATTTCCTTATAAATCAGAAATCCTGACCCTTTTCATTTACCGTCTCAAGCTATGACAACACTTCTGTGGGAAAGGATTGTCCTAAAGACGTTCAGTTGTCAGAAATGTGCAGTAATGGCTCTCCAGAAGCAATCCACCATGACAGTGGTAGTGCTGGTGCTAATGAGCCAGCCTCCAATCCAGGGCCTGCCTTGTCTTAGGGGAGGGTCAGTTAGGAACAGAATGAGGTTGCATCACATCCTGACCCACCACTTTGGGTCTTGGGGTTCCTTAAAAGAAATAGTTGATTAACTGTCAATGAAACTATCTGGAGCCAGACAATGGCATGGCAGTAAAACTGATGGTCTGCAAGACTATCCTCTGTGGGATGCTCCCTGTTTGGGTCCAGACACTGCTCTGAGCATACTAGGCATACATGTACCCATGATTCAGGGCTGGCTGAAACCTGGGGTGAATGGTGGTGTCAGAGCCAAGTTTAGGGTTCTCTCTCTCTGACTGTTTTTCTTGCTCATGAAATAAATAAATAAATCTAAAAAACAGAAAGTACCTGTAGAGCTATAACCAGAAACTCTGTGTCCTATGGTATGGAGTAAGTATTGCTATGACCTTTACACCTGAGAACTGGACTTCCTATTTCCTCCACTACCCTCGTCAAAACA